GGCTACCCAGGAGGACAGTACGGCGGCGGTCCGGGAGGTTACCCAGGAGGCCCAGGCGGACAGTTCGGCGGCGGTCCGGGAGGCTACCGATGTGTCGGCGGCAAAGGCGAGCGGGGCGGTCCGGGCCGACGGAGCGCCCGGAGGAAGCGGCCGTGCGACGTGTGTCCCGTCCCGAACGGCTGGGACGCCGACGACGAGATCGGGGGCGTGGCGACGCCCCGCCGCAAGAAGAGGAAGACGAAGAAGAGAAGCACGTCCAGGGGCAAAAAGGGCGAATTGTCAGATTGTGACAAATGCACAAGTGGAGGCAAAACGAACCAGGCCAAGGGAGCATCGAAAGCATGACGATTACATCGGACACACGGCGTCATTAATTTGTCGAAGGAAGAGAGGATGAGAATATTCGTCGATCTCAAGTAAGTAGTGAATGACACTAAGGTACCAAAACGTTCGATTTCGGTTGATTAAATTATTCCTTTTTGGTTTCGTTATGAGAACAACAATGTGTAAATTACATCCAAAAAGGAACCCACGGATGCGTAACCAGTGCCCTTCCTCTCTTAACACTCCGGGACATGGCTCAGGGAATCTACGGACGGGAGATCCTAGGTTCGAGTCGCGACGGTGGCAGGATTTTCGCCACTAGCTTGTCACCTAGGTCGAGTTCAGCCGCTTTCCGGAGAAGAATTCTAGCGGCCGGCTGCTCTGACCTGTAGTTATCCGTGGTTTCTCCGATCAACACCAGGAGAATTGATGAGTATTACTCTAATAAACGGGGCACGGACCGCGCACGATCTTTTCCTCCTCTTCCTTGTCCTACCGACACCCCTTACTCACACTTACACTAAAATGCGCTACACTACCACAGATGCCGAAAGACCGGAAGAGAGCTTTGATTTTGTTCCTGCTGGGGAGGTGCCCCGCTAGTGGGAGAGACCTGGCTGAGGAAATCCACGCAAGCCGACGGTAGGTCGGCGCCGGATCTTGCCATATAGCGGGCGAAGACCATCGCTACCTCACGAACAAAAATATATGCACTACACTTACGGTACTAATGACCTCGGTAGTTGATGCGCCCGAAATCACTAACAATCATCAATCGTTTAACCATGCAGCTGGAATACGTAATGTATGATTAGATGGTCGCCGAGAAAATGTTTTATGACACGAGGCAACGGGGCTCCTTTGAAACTTTCCAAGGGTTTCCATGGCCCCTGCCGCCCCCTTGCGCGCACACCTATTTTCTTGAGTGATTTTCGGGGTGATTTCCAACGGAAGGCGCGAAACGGGCGAGCAGGGAGTTGATGTGCACTGTTCACAGCCCGAACACATCACCACTCTTAATGCCACTTCCGGCTCTATTGAGGCTACAAAGGCATGACTCATGCACTTAAATAAAGTCTTCATATAGTTTTCTGTCGTTGGCTGGCAGAGGGAGTAAGTATATCTGTTTTATTCCACTATTATTCACACCCGAAATCACAGCAACTATCCCTCAACCTCAATAATTGTGGTAAAAAAGGAATATAAAAATATTTAGATCGTGATGAAATTTTGAAAAAAAGGACGAATGGATAAATAATGTATGACACCCGAAAGCAACGAGAAAAAAGGGGTCATCCGCGTGTTCTCCACCTTTTTAAGATTAAAAAAATGCAATATTGGGTTAAGAACAATTAATCAACAAAATTAAACTTATAGTCCACCATATCTTTTTTTGTAACTTGATATAGGTTTCGCCAAACTTCCAATATCCTGACGTCGCAACTATTTGGGTTTCAAAACTGGAATGTCACATTAATATTCCCGGCCTACATTTAAGCATCTACATTATTTTTAATTAGATCGCCGGTGAGGTAGATACCTTCTAATATTTAAGTATGGTAAATAAAAGATGTCTGGTATCAACAATTCATTTTGAGTATGATCACTACGCGATTAAAACGATCATTAGTAAATGTCTATATTTTGTATATAATTTTTGTATTAACTTATTTCTAATTATTTATATATCATGTATTAATATAATTTATTTCGCTAATTCTGATTTCAGCTTTGAGGATGATCGCTACGCGATCGAAACGATCATTACCAAAATAAATTGTTGATACCTGACATCTTTTATTTACCATATATATAGCATCTACATTCGATAGCGAACTCTCGCTCTTAACACACTCGCGCCCAAATAACACACCACGCTCCTTCCCTAAATTGTCTGTTGTCACGGATTCACACAACAAGAACAAATTTATGTTTTCATTTCGAAACTCTCTAATTGTACTACCAGAGAATTAACACTTTCAAACGTGGATTAAACTTTTATAATACTTTGTTCTAGGAATGCGAAATTGCTTTCGGTGTTTCTATAAAGGGATAGATTTTTAAACAACGATGTATTGAAGCCGATGCTTTTACGTTTTCGTTGTTTTGTTGGTGGATCAACAATATCCACACACACAATTTTGAAGTTGTAATTATAAATTGATATACACAGCTGCTGTCCAATTACATTTTGTTGGGCACGAATTTAATTATTGGAGGATAGTAAACCAGCTTTAAACAATGATTTTTTTGGTCGATGTATTATTCCAACAATGTAGAACATCGATGTTTTAGTGTTGAAAATATTTTCTTCTTCTTCTTTGGCAAGGGTTGGGAGCCAATGACCCGTTCCGAAACTCAGAACTGTTCTGATCACCTCATTCTATGTCCACTTACATCTCTGTAGCTAGTTGTGTAGTATGTTTATATAATAGAGTAGGTATTATTGTAGTCTATTTGGTTCCATCCTGTTGGAGCCATTTCTGTTGGTATTTTTTAATGCAATTTACTACACTATCAATATTTATCCTTGTCTTCGTTTGGAACTCTATCCCTCAATGGTAGACCCATTAGAGCTCTTAAGGAATTCATTTGTGAAGCCTCTAATCTTCTTTCGTCATTTTTCCTTAGTGTCCACGTTTCACGTGTGAATGAGAGTGCGATATCACATTGTGCAATCGATGTTCAAATTTTGAACATCGATGTTTAGCAACATTGTCGAAGTCGCATCCCTACTTTGTTTGCGTTGCCGAAGCAACGAAGCACGAGTGACGTAGGGGCGAGGGGCGAGGGGCGATGGACGCGGCCGCTGTGCCCGCAGGTGTGTCCACTTGAGCCGAGGCTGCGCGTTGTCGCCTCGGCGCCGAGCACCGGAAGCGGCTGCCGTGCGCGGCTCGTCGCCCGCCGCCCGCGTCACTTCCGGCGCGGCCGCGCACCTCGCGCCCAACGCAGTACGTAGTCGGTCGCGCTGCGCCGCGCTGGGTGACGTGAAACTCAAGGAAAGGGAGAGCAGTTTCCATGGGCGTGCGCAAGGCGAGTGGGGATGCGGGTGGGTACGTGGGTGGTGGAGGGGCGAGAGTTAGAAATTGGTGAACGCTGACATTCGTAATAAATAAATAAGTATATATATATATATTATATAT